CATAAATTATAATCAAAATGGATTTTAAGAATATGATAATATATTTTAGTGAAATAAAATATGGAAAAAGTGTATGCAAAAAAATAGCAATATTACCAAAATAAAAGTCAATAATTATTCCATAATCTTGCAAAGGAATCGTGTTAATAAGTTCAACGTGAATAAACGTTTTTTGAAAAATTAAAACGACACGTATAGTTTTAGATTCGTTTACTGTAACTTAGAACGGATATGGATTAATAACATTTAGATGATTTAAAAAAAAAATTGTATTACAAACTCTGTTTTTTTTTGTCAATGGTATATGAATAAAAACTTTTAGGTCTTTCRTGATGTCGACGAGGATTTATTTATATTGTAATCGATTTAATTTATTTATGAATGCCCATGCACGTTTCACACCCACTTTGGTCCGAGAAATCCAATTTAAATTTACTGTCTGTCTGCAGGTTCGTAAACACATTAGGTGGCTACAAAACTTGACGTGAGATCTTGAATATTAATACTATAAAATACTCAACGTTTCTGCAGAGAACCTTATTGATTTCGTGTCAGCTCTCAATATTTATTTTTAAATGTTGTTTAATGTTTAAATGTCGACTAATGGTAAGGCGAGACGGTAATAAGTGTAGCAGTGGTAAAACGCCGATAGCATCATCACACTACAATAATACAATAAATGTTATATTATTGTTTATTAATCCACGAAAATCATCAACAGTTTGTACTTCGATTCTAACGTCAGGCGATGGTGACTTAAAAGTTTTTTAACATAAAAATATCCTGTCCATTAAGTTATAATAATCATTAGATTAGCCACTCTTAAGATACCTAGTCCATAAAACGGTTCTGTGGTATGACGTGCTACGCGTAGTTCATAAGTGATGCTTTATGAAATGAGGTTATTAAACTCGACAATAATAATTATTGTACAAAGTTATTTTATACTGTCGTAATAATAACGCAGCAGCGGCAATAGAGTTTAATATTATACACTCAGAGTTTGTAAAAATGTGTACCATTTTAGGGTCGTATAGCTATTATTATTATAATTATTATAATATTTAACACTATAGCCGTCGACGGAGGAGGCTTAACGACGATACGCATAATATATTATTTTTATAATTATGCATAGGTCACCGTCATCAGACGTATTATGCTCTAATATATTTCGTGACCGCYGCGGTAAGTGCAGTTTAACACTCGGATTATCATCGTGAAAATATTATCATGATTTTTATTCTAATGCACGCGCTTATAGTATTCTATTTACCATTTAATAGAAATATATTATAATATGCCCTTACAACATATTATAACATATGGCTCATACACGACATACCACGATAATAATTATATTATATTATTTTCTCGCGTTGTTTGTATA